ATCCTTATAGAACCCTAAACCCTAAACCCTAGGCTAACCAACGAAGGCACCCATCAAAATCTTGATCTGCTCCTCGAGGCGTCTCACATTCTTCTCCTGGGTGTCTGCAGCCGCCAAAAAGAAGGAACTTTTTACGACAATATAGGGCTTAGGGTTTGGGGGTTTAGGGCTTTAGGGGTTTAGGGTTTTGTTTAGGGTTTAGGGCTGTAGGATTTAGAGGATCTAGGGCTAAGGGCTCAAAGCCTAAACCCTAAATCCTAGATGGATTTAGGGTCTAGGGGTTTGGGTTTAGGGTTTAGGGTTTAGGGTTTAGGGTTTAGGGTTTAGGGTTTAGGGTTTAGGGTTTAGGGTTTAGAGCTTAAACTTCAAGGCCTAAACCCTGAACTCTACCCTCGGCTCCCCTTAAACCTTTAGGAGATCCACAATCAAGAAATGCAAGTCAAAAGCGGTAAAACGTCCCCAAGGGCTCATTCGTAAACCTTCAGCTCTCAACTCTGTAGACTCTGTATCCTGAGCTCTAAACTTCAAGCCCTAAACCCTGAACTCTAAACCTTAAAACTCCAAACCTTACAGTCCAAACACTGTTTAAACAAATCCTTACCACAGAGCGTTCACCACGCGACGACATCGTTCGATCCCAACCTAGACAGCCGAAAGGAATAGAACTTACATAGGCTTAGGGTTTAGGGTTTAGGGTTTACGGTCGGTTTACGGTCACACCAAGACTTCTGCGAATCATGACATAAAGCCCTTTGACACTTCTGATTTCCTGATCAAAGGAGTGTTGACCTGATTAGGGGTGTTGAGGCGTTTAGGGGTTCTGGGATGGGACTTGGGTTATGTGGGGGTTTAAGGATATAGAGTCGAGGGTTTGGGGGTTTGGGGTTCATTTATGAGTGGTTTAAGGCTTCCTGCCCCGAAGTAGATGTGCATGCCCGGTCTCCATCATGATCTGATCGATAGCTCGCGCCGGGCCCTTGCATCTCAAAATGCCGTCAATGAAGTCGGCACATGTAATTTGTCCATCACCTGAGACGGCAAGCCCTCCCCTAAACCCTAAACCCTAAACCCTAAAGCCCCTAAACCGTGTGTCATTAAGCATGAAATCCCGAAGTCTCAGTGGAAAAACAGTGGTTTGAAACACCGAACACCACTGACCTCCAGGGCTGCTGCTGCGGCTGATGATGATCAAAACACGACGGCGATATCCGCTCATCACCATCCTCATCATCATCACCTATAACACTAAAGCTGCAGCAATACTTATTCTGTTTCTTCGTGCTCTTCGCCGTGGCCATGGGCGTCACCGTCGCCAAAGCTACCAACACATCGCAGGAGCAGAGCAAGAGGCAGAGGAGTTGCAGCAGGAGTGCGACTGCAAGCAGCAGCAGGAGGAGGCGCAGAATGTGGAGGAGGAGGAGGAGGAGCACAAGCAGTCCTGATAGTAGTGGTCGCCATCGTAGTATGCACTACTAGTACAGGAGTAGGTCCAGTTGGAGCAGTACAGTAGTGCTATAACAGGTCGTGGGGTTGGTCGAGGCGCTGGTGGTGAGATGGTGAGTGGTGCCGCTGGCCAGAGTACATTTACAAGCAAAGATGCCAACACGAACAAAGATAGCCGTCGATGCTTTCAAAGCATGACAGCAAGCAAGGAATGGCCTTTTTGGCTGTAAACCTTTACATGCCACGAATTACACCCATGAGGCCTGCGAAATGCACATACAAACCTGCAACTGCCAAACACATCCAAATCGCTGTTGGCAAGCAAGTGGAACAACGCAGAGGACTGCATCACGTCGATCTCGAGTGTCTCTAGGTAGGTAGTCACCCGCGAATCCATGAAGAGCTCATTCAGCTCCTCCTCATCAATCAAGCCGTCCTGGCTCTCCTGGGCATGTTGATTGTGCAGGCTTGTGACATCGAGGCAAAAGCGAGCTGATGCAAAGCCGCACCCTTCGCCCCTTCAGCTGGAAACTGAAACCTCGAAAGCTTAAACTCGAAATAGCCGAACGATGCATCCAGCTTGCATCAATCGCATTGAAGATGGCCTCGAGCTTGTGAATGTAGGTGGCCTTTCTTCGCAGACCTGGAGGACTAGAGATGTTGACAAACCCGCCGCGATTGCGGTTCCTCGGTCTAGGGCTTCGAGGCTTTAAGAACTTTAGCCTTCATGTGGGCTTAGGGGTTTAGGGCTTGGGGTTTAGATGGGTTTAGGGCTGAGTTTAGAGGTTGAAAACGTGTAAGGCCCATACTATCAGGCTTATTGCATGGTATACAAGTCTGAGCTTCGATGATGCCAGGCCCCGTCACTCACAGGCCCTAAACCCTAAACCCTAAACCCTAAACCCTAAACCCTAAACCGAAGCTCCAAAGAGTGAGGACTGGTACATCGACTATTGGCTTTTCACGAAGACTGAAACATTCACCCCAGAACACCTCTTGAAGTGCCGAGACGGGTTTAGGGTTTAGGGTTTAGGGTTTAGGGTTTAGGGTTATAGACCCTAAAAGCCTTACCAGTAAACATCCAAAGACATCTTTGACAGGGGGTTAAGAGCAAGTCGACCACATCCAACACAAGGAAGGCGACTTACTGCAGCATAGAAGCCTAAATAACGACCACTATTGTTCCGTAACGTTCCGCTTGCAACTAGCGCAAAGTATACTTCAACACCCTGCGTTGAATTGCTATTGTCACTATAGTAGTTGCCTGAGTTCCATGCATACTTATTGCAGAGCCTGTCAAAATGCTCGCATAAGTAGGGTAGCAAGGGACCCTGACTTTGCTAAACCAAGCGTCCTAAATCCAATATAAACCACGAAAGACAAGGCCCTCTTGGACGATCTTCGATAAATCATAAACCCTGAACAATGCCATAAAGCTTGAACCCGACAGCCTCTATGACAGGCACAGAGCCTTCTTGGACCGCCTCTTCATAATTCCTAAGCCCAAAACCTCTCAAAACCGTTAACCCTAACTAGGCCCTAACCCCCACTCAAACCCTGAACCCAAAAACTCAGGGCCCTTTTGGACCAGTATTTCTAAATCCGGAACTGTACAGAAATGGCCCCTTCGAAACCTTAAGCCCTAACCCTTTGGACAACCAAAAACACAGGGCCGTCTTGGACCCTTACACCCTAAACGCGAAGAAGCCTTAAAAACCCAGGGCCTTCTTGGAACGGCTCTTTAATTATAATAACTCCTAAACCCAAAAAGCAAAGAAAAAACGTTGGGCCCTCTTGGACCACCTATTAATTGACCCGAAACCCTAAACCCTAAACCCGAAACCCCCAAACCCTAAACCCCAAACCTAAACCCCTAAATCCGTAACTCGTAAACCTAATCCCTCAACCCACAGGGCCTTCTTGGACCATGAGCTCCGCGTCGTTGTTAGCGGCCTCGAGGGTCTCGCGAAGGAAGATAGCGGTGATCACGCGAATGACCTCCGAGTTTGGGGGCCTACCGTGACCGGGTGTAGGGTTTAGGTTTGGGGGTTTAGGGTTTAGGGGGTTTAGGGGTTTAGGGTTTAGGGTTTGGGGTTTAGGGTTTAGGGTTTAGGGTCATTGGGTTTTAAATTGACGATTAAGTGGGCTCAGGCTGTGGGTCTTCGGATGAGGGTTTTAGGAGCTCTGGGGATAGCATTGAGGTGTAAGAGCTTAGGATAGTGTGCTGCTCAGAGCTCAGTTCATAGCTGCTGGAATACCCTAAACCCATAAACCCTAAACCCCTAAACCCTAAACCCTAACACCCTGAAACCCTAAAACCCTAAACCCTAAACCTTAAACCCTAAAACCCTAAACCCTAAAACCCTACAGCCTAAAGCCTGAACACCCAATCCCGAAACCCGAAAACCCTAAACCCTAAACCCCTACTCCTCCTGGGTTCCTGGTGAGGGTGAGCCTTGGGTTGTAGAAAGTTGCTTCTTCGAGCCTCTGTGTTCCGCAAGGGGCCACGGTGAACTCCCTCTTTCCTGGCCCTCGAGCCCGAATTCAACTCGATGTCACGGTTTAGGGTGTAGGGTCCTAGTTCTGGTGCTGCACCCCCAAAGCTCAAATACTCAACTCCAGGAACGTGGTCCCAGAATTTCGGGGGCTTTAGAGCACTGCAGTCTAGACACTAAACCATGACAACCCTAAACCCCTGAACCCATTTCGATCTATTGGGTTCCTTGCCATACTTACAGTATGACATACCCCGAAACGCAAAGGCCCCTTTACTGATACCCATCGTATCCCTTTTGGTAACCTTTCTGATAGAATGCTTGACCCGGAACCCCGTTCCCATTATTGCGGCCCCCTATACTGTGGAGCTGCGAGCTTCCTCCTAGATAAAAACCAACAGCCGCAACGCCCAAAAGACCCTAACACTCTAGAGCCCTACACCCTAACCCAAAACCCCAAGCCTAAACCCTGAACACAAAACCGTCCACACCCTAAACCCCAAACCCTAAACCAAGAACCCAAATCCTGAACCCCAATCAACTTGTCAACGCCCCAAGCCCCAAACCCCAAACCCCAAAACCCCAACACCCCGAACCCTGAACCGTAATTCCTAAACCCCAACACCCCAACACCACAAACCCCAAACCCGAAGCCCAAACATCCCAAGCTCCTTAACCTTCAAGGCCCGAAGGCCACAACTTCCTGGGACTCCCTGTACCCGAGTTAGGGTTTAGGGTTTAGGGTCTAGGGTTTAGGGTTTACCCTGAACCCTAAACCCTGAACCCTCAAACCCTGAACCCTGAACTCTGAAGCCTAAACCCCATAAACCCTAGACTCTAGACTATAGACCCACCCAAAGCCCTCGGACCATGAGACCTCCGGGACTTGGGAAAGGGTGTCGGGTGTCGGTATTCGGGGTTTCAAGGTTTGTTTGGGTTTGGTGACCTGGGGTCACTAAGGGTTTTAGTGTTAAGGCTTAGGATTTTGGAGTTTAGAACGTCCAGGGGTTAGAACAAAAGCCTAAACCCTAAACCCTAAAACTTGTTGGTGTTTGGGGCCAGCTTGGGGACAAAATTTTGAGCTTAGCTGCGGCGAAGACCACGAAGGTGATGTAGATGATAAAGAAAATACAGTAGAAGTGGCTGACGTGCTCCAAGACGGGTCTGGCATAGATACCCCAGTTCCCTGCAAAGGTGATCTCCTTGGCGACGGAAATGAGAGGGTTCAGTTTTCGACCTGCTCTGTTGTGAATTGCTTAAATGTGCCTCGGGCTTAACAATTGAATTTGATGGCCTGAGTGATAGACATGTTAGTTTGGGGACATGTTGCAGTATAGCTAACAAAGAGGCTCCGTAAGAGAGTACCTAAACCCCGAAACCCTAAACCCTAAACCCTAAATCCTAAACCCCTAAACCCCAAACCCTAAACCCTGAATCCTACACCCCCCCTCTCTGTTCGGCCGTTTGTGCCCAGGGCGAGCTTTTGAAGCTATGACATGCACATACCCCGGAACCCGAAACCCTAAAGTTTAGGGCTTTATATGTTTAGGGTTTAGGGTTTAGGGTTTAGGGTTTAGGGTTGGGTTTGAAACCCAAAACCCAAAACCACGAACCTGAAACTCCTTTCCTAAACCCGTCGCATCCTGTAAACCCGCAACCACGACCTTCTGTAACCAAGAGATTCGCACATGGCCCTAGACCCCCTCAACCCTACACCCTATAAGACCCCTACAGCGACGGGAACACTGTAAAACCCTGAACGAACCTTGTTGGAACCCCATTTAAACCTTAAGCCCCTAAAACCTAAACCCTAAACCCTAAACCCTAACCCATTTTAAACCATAGCCAAGAGTCGTACATGGTGTAAATCGCTCGGAAAGAAGTTCCATAGTGGAGCCAAATCCATTCCCTTCCTTCGATATCCTGGTGCAGGGCTGGGGGTTTCGGTTAAGTCTTCTTGTTGAGCGCCCTTTTTACCATCCTCGGTCCGGGTTGTTTTAGTTTAGGGTTTAGGGTTTAGGGCTTTGGGGGTTTAGGGCTTTAGGAGTTTAAGGTTCAGGTTTAGGGCTTAGGGTTCTCTCTAGGTCTCCTAGAACTCAGGGTTGCAACTCCTATAGCGGTTCCAGGGTTCGAAGTTCCCGGCCCCTGCAACTGACAGCGCGGCTGAGATGGGCTGCACTGGGGGCTGAAACCCTAAACCCTAAAGGGTTTAGGGTTTTAGGGATTTAGGGGTGCGGAGTTTAGGGTGTAGGGCCAGCGATATCCCATGCACTAAAGCCCTAAAGCCTCACCGACGAAACACCAGTGGTCCTGAGTTTCGTCAACTATGAAGTCTTGGAGCAAGTTTCCGATCAGCAAACCTCAGCTGGTGCCCTGCACAGCACACAAGGGATCAGAGGGTCTCTGTATGACAGAAAGAGCGAACGCTATTTGTCAGCAACCACAAGAATGGACGAAATATCGGAGAAAAAGCTTGCCCTTTTGAGGCCACGTGCTTTCGTCCCTTGGGGGTTTGGGTTTGGTAACGGGTGCGGGTTGCACTCTGTGCAAAATCTTAGACAGAAGTCTGGTCACCATTCCTTGTAGAAATTGGCAAACACACCCTCGTAGATCACCTTTATGTCAACGGTATGTTTGACAAGAGCTTCCCACACACCCTATTCTTACTTGTTTGTTTAGGGCCAGAATATGCCTCAACATGCGAAGCCCGCCAACACAAGCCCTCGCGACTGACATCCTCAACATCACCAAGAAAAAACAGTGCATAGACTCTGAAGAATTAGACAGATTCTGGAGATCAGGAACCCCCAAAAAGCATCCCAGGCTTGAAGAACCACCCTGAGGCTCATCTTCAACGCAAAAGAGTTCTGCGAGACGAAACACGCAAGACATTCTAAATCCGACAACGATCTACTAAGCGCACACGCACAAACCAACAAAATGCTAAAACTGCGAACGAGACCCCCGCCTTCCATCACTCTACAACACTCAACCTTAAACTCTCAAACCCTAAACCTCACCCTGCGGTTGATGATGTAAATCCTGCATCACCCATAAGAAGGAATATACCATAATTCCCGTAGGTTAAGGGTCCTTAAAGTAATGCAGGATATAGATCATCATCAGTACCCCATTCCTAAACCCTAAACCCTATAAGCCCCAAACCCTAAAACCCTAAACACTGAAACCCTAAACCCTAAACCCCTAAACCCCTAAAACCCTAAACCCTAAAACCCCTAAACCACCTAAAAAACCCTGAAAAAACTTGGAAAACCCTAAAGCCTCACACGAAGTACCTCGTTGCTGTGCCGGGGAGCCGGAGGAAAGCATGCAGAGCCCGAGCCTGGCGAGCTCTTTTCGGATCTTATGGAAATTTAGGGTTTAGGGTTTAGGGTTTAGGTTTAGGGTTTAGGGTTTAGGGTTTAGGTTTAAGGTTTAGCATTTAGGGTTTAAATTTGGTGAGGGCTTAGTTTAGGGCTTCTAGGGTTTAAGGGTTTTAGGGGTTTAGGGTTTAGGATTTAGGGGTTTAGGGCTTCTAGGGTTTCAGGGTTTAGGGGTTTAGGATCTAGGGGTTTAGAGCTTCGTTTGGGGCTTGTAGGGTTTAAGGGTTTTAGGGGTTTAGGATTTAGGATTTAGGGGTTTAGGGCTTAGTTTAGGGCTTGTAGGGGATTAGGATTTTAGGGATCTTATGGAAATCGGGTGAGGGCTTCGTTTATTTAGGGGTTTAGGGTTTAGGGTTTAGGGTTTAGGGGTTTAGGGTTTTGGAAAGCGAAGTAGCTGGGGGATTTAGGTGCAATCGAGCTTTTCCTAGCTGCTGCTTTGGTCTCAAGACGTCTGCAGTGTATACATGCGTTTCACTGCAACTCAAACTCTAGCACTATTATAAGTACTGCAAGAACTACATCTATACAGGAACGTCAACACGGATTCACTAACAG